ACCCCCCCGCCTGCCATTTTACCGGCAAGTATGTCAGAAAAGGAAGCCGCCTCTTGCTGTGTACGCGGAGACCACCGTTTGAGATAGGGCAGTCTGTGGTATATAGTTTGATGCTCATTTTAAAGTATTCATGCATTTATACACAGTGATGTACTTTCCCATAATGATTATATCTAAATCAATTTTCCATAACTTGTTTAATGTTGTGCAACATAGAAATATCATCATATGCAAAACACTTTGTATCTAGGCATATTGGCTGTGTCATTGCAGTGGTGCTGTGTTACTGATAACTTTGACAAAAAGCAATACTGTCCCAAATTTTAGTTTTCATGTCTCATAATTTTGTTAAATGTTCGGCACATATCATTCCAGGTACTTAATTGTAATCCAGATATCCTCATAGAGATTTTTCTTTTTTCTTTTTTTTTTGGCTAGAGCGCGTTTTTTAAGGAATGATCTAGAAAAAAGTGCACACACAAATAGCTTCTGTGTCTGAGTCATTAGACCTTTATGATGTTATGTGTTAGAGAGAAATGAGTCATTTATTGTTTAAAGGAAGATGCAGCTGTTACGTTTTCTAGTGAGATAAGACCTCTGCGCTATTTTCTACAAGTGGAAAAAGTCAAATGAGCTCTCCTCTCAGCTGTTGTTTTAGCAGCTGACTGTTATAGTAAAGTAACTGTGGTGTGAATATAATTGTGGTGTTTGTAGAAAATCTTTCAAGGTATGTAATTTAATGGAATACTACCTATATTGAAAAGCAATCATTATTTCAATAAACTTTGATAATGTTATACCTCGTTGTGGATCTTGCATTCAAATAGTTGTGTTTTGATCCTGGTTCCATTACATTCAAAGAACATTTTGCCATACGGGTAAAAAGCATTCTCTATATGGGCAAAATACAGTCCTTCATCAAGGTACATCAAACAACTTAAAATTTCAAATTTGTTTTGGATCTGTATTACCACCTTTAATAAAAATATAAATGTTCCCAGTCTAAATTGTGAAACCTTCAACGTATGCAAAATTTTTTCAAATTCACATTCACTTTTCAAACTACTTGTCTGATTTGGGGCTTTTTTAGTTTAAATTCAGATTTTTTTTTTAGGTTTTTAACTTCATTTAATGGATGTGTAATTTAAATGTGGTGGATTACATGTTTTTCATTCTCTGTTCTACCTTTCCTATGTACTGTTTTTGGTTTAGCTTAACAGCAGTTAACACCATTTCTAGAACAGTCGAATTCAAAAGGATTGGTAATGTCTACAGATTGTCTGAAATGAAGAATGGTGTTTATTATGTGGGGGTGGAGACTTCATTTTAAATTATTTTTGAAAGCAGAACTTTACCTGAATAATGTATATTTTATGTCTAAACAGTAGGGGTTTGTTTACAAATAAATGTAAACAAATGGATATTAAGAAGAAGCTCAAAATGAATTTCAAAGTCATCAATAGCTTAAGAAATCGCAGATGTGATATGGGTACGTAAAAAATAATCTTAAGAGCATAGATAATTGATGCAAAGTTCTGGAGTTTTTCAGTATCTTTATGACTGCAGCAACAAGATGTATTCAGCAACTGAAAAAGTGAGCAGTAGTTGCAGCTGACAACTTGATTAATATTTCTATTTCAGAATATTTGTAACATGTATATTTACAATCTTGCTCATAGCTGTCTCACTGAGGGTCAAATTCTGCTGTCCTTACTCATGTCAAATAATTTCTTACATTGCACATAATCTCATTGATTCAATGTGGAGAATGATGGCAGAACCTGACCATAGCGACTAAAAGCAACAGTTGCTTCTTTCAGTCTTTGACAGCTGCGAGAGCAACTCTTTTTTTCCAAACCATCCATCCTAAATTCCGACCTGTAAGAGTATGTACCTATATTTAGCTAGCGAGATTAAGTTGCAGAGGCTTCAGGCAGGGCAAAGCACATTGGTCTGCCTTTTTTACAGACAGACCTTTGGGCAGACAACAGCTAAAGCCTTCTGCTCCCTCCCCTTTCCCAAGTATTTGCAAAATGGATTCCCAAAGGGAACTCACTGAAGAGCTCAGACTTTACCAATCCACCCTTCTTCAGGATGGCCTCAAGGAACTCCTCGAAGAGAAAAAGTTTATAGATTGCTCTCTAAAAGCTGGCGACAGAAGCCTGCCTTGCCACAGATTGATTCTGTCGGCATGTAGCCCTTATTTTCGTGAGTATTTCTTATCCGAGCAAAATGAAGAGAAAAAGAAGGAGGTAGTTCTAGATAATGTTGACCCCAACATCCTAGATATGATTGTCAAATACCTTTATTCAGCAAGTATTGATCTTAATGATTCTAATGTGCAAGATATCTTTGCTTTGGCCAGTCGCTTTCAGATCCCTTCTGTATTCACTGTGTGCGTCTCCTATCTTCAGAAGAGGCTTGCTGTTGGTAACTGTCTGGCCATCCTTCGATTAGGTGTTCTGCTTGATTGCCCAAGACTTGCATTTTCCGCCCGTGATTTTGTTTCAGATCATTTTGTGCAGATCTGCAAAGAAGAGGACTTCATGCAGCTTGCCCCACATGAACTGATCTCGGTTATTTCACCTGACAGCTTAAACGTAGAGAAGGAAGAACTGGTATTTGAAGCAGTAATGAGATGGGTCCGAACAGACAAGGAAAACAGAGTAAAGAGCCTGGGGGAAATTTTTGACTGCATACGTTTTCGTCTTATGCCAGAAAAATATTTCAAAGAACATGTTGAGAAGGATGATATAATTAAAAGCAACTCAGACCTTCAGAAAAAAGTAAAGATTATTAAGGATGCTTTTGCTGGAAAACTGCCTGACCCTAGCAAAACTACAGAGAAGTCAACCAAAGGGGAGGTGAATGGTGATGTAGGAGATGAAGATTTACTGCCCGGCTACCTAAATGACCTTCCCAGGCACGGCATGTTTGTCAAAGACCTAATTCTTCTGGTTAATGACACTGCTGCTGTAGCTTATGATCCTCTTGAAAATGAATGCTACCTAGCAGCCCTGGCAGAACAGATTCCCAGAAATCATTCCAGTATAGTCACCAAACAAAATCAGGTCTACATTGTTGGAGGACTGTATGTGGAAGAGGAGAACAAGGATCAGCCTTTCCAGTCATACTTCTTCCAGGTATAAGCTTTATAATTGCTGGTGCAATAATAGGTGCTTATAAGAGTTACTGAAAAGTATTCTGAGTCTATGCAAGTGAGTTGTCTAGTCTCTCTGTACGGTCGATGGAGAGAAATATCTAGAAAGCTATTCCTGTCTCGGAGAGAGAAATTAAACCAAGGGACTTGGATCTTCTCTTTCAAGATCAAGCCCCCAGTGAGATCTCAGAAAATATTAGAAGGATTAGTATATTTTATCTAGGCGCCGGCTTTCATTGTTTAAGGCCCAGATTTTTCATGGTACAGATGCCTAAATTTAAGCCTAATAATATGTTGTAAAATACCTTTTGTGAATTTCTGTTAACTCCCATGAAAGTTGAGTGCTTAGCTGCTTTAGATCTAATGAGGTGTTTTTCTTTTTTTGCATCTGAAATATTTTTATGACAGCAGTAATGTGCATATTTTAAATGCCACTTTAGTCACTAAAATTCCAGAAGTCCTTTTGTCACATCTACATTTGAAAACCTAAGGGCATTCTAAAATACGTAATTTAGAGGATTGTTTTCTTGGCAAACTGTCTATGTAAGTACACTAAATATCATGTTTCAACTGAGAGCATAATTTTATATCTTTGTAAATCTGTATAAATGTAAGATGTAAGGCTGATTGATTAATACAAACTGTAACTTCCACAACGTATTTCAGAAAAATTAGCAAAAATACAATTTGACATGCTTACACCATAAACTAATTCTGTTGTGTTTTTAGCTACCTGGCTACATGCTTTGGGGGATATTTAAACTATCTCATGATGAATTATGCAATGTGCTGCTGGCCACGTCCTGTCTTTAGGCACATTGTCCAAAAAAGTGAAAGTAGGTCCTGTTTCAATATTAAGTAAAGCAGAGTGATAAGCAGTGACAGCGTTTTAAAGCCTACAGATACTAGTACAGATACTAAAAAATGCAAATATTAAGTGTTTATAGGAGTATGGCTCACTGTGATTTCACACACAATGAAAGAGTTGGTTTCAGGCATTTGTTACATCTACGAGAGGGAAGCCTTAGTTTGCTAGAGAGGGATTAGCACTGTTTCATTTCCTTATGTAGGTGTAAAACACTAGTCACTGAAGTGCAAAACTTGTTACAGAAATACTCTTCTAATAGAAATACTGTGGTGATGTCATAATGTATATAATCCAGAACTGAATAGTCTAAGTCTCAGGCTACTAGAAAGGGGCCTCTGAAAAACTAAACCTCAAGACCGATACTAAAAATTGATGAAGTTTTCAGAATCCTACTGTATATGTCTACATCCATTTCCTGAAATCCTGCTCTCTCGCTTGTCATCTTTAAGCTTGCTTGCTACTGCCTATAGTTAAAATACTTGCGTGCATTACCCATCTGGCTGTTGTTCCCTCTAAAATGTTAATGTGCTAAACCAATTTTCACTTACTGATCTCCCTTTCCCCCCCCAGTGAAGCACCTGTTACCATTTTATTTGGTAGCTAGCAACCCATGAGAAAACAAGGCTGCCACTGGCTCAAAAATGCATGACTAGTTTATGCCTTATCATCAGTAGGTATGTCATCTTCAAGACTGATTCACTAAGTACGCTGTGATCTGTGATGGGTACATCTTCTCATTACGCCACCCAAATCCAGCTACTGGGGCAATCCATGTCCATGAACTAAATTTCACGTTGCAATAAAACTTCCTGTCCAATAGGAGTGGTCTATCAAATTTGGGAGATGCATTTTAGCATGGAGACCTTGACTGTGGAACATACTTCCGGAAAAAGGATGTCACTGCGCTGAACCCA